ACAATGTAAAGGGGCAGGTGATTTAAAGGAGCAGTCTTTGAAACAGAGCTGCTGGTGAAGGACAAAAGTGAAAAAGAAAGGAGAAGCACCCTTTAACAACCAGGTGATGAAAGAGAAAAGAGGCAAAAGAAAGAAATTAAAGAGTCCCGCAAGATAGATGAGTACTGCACAATTGGAGCACTTACGACGCTTCCCTATCACCAAAACCAACCAATAAAAACCCCACTAAGTACCTGAACTTTGCTATATTGACAGAAGAGATCTCAGCCATGAAGCATGAAATTATAAACAGATATGAATATTGATAACTTTGTCACTATTTGTAGATATGATGGTGGATGTATTTTGTATGAAAATACAAAATAATCTACAAAGAAATTAGAAATAATAAGATAACTTAGTTCCACTTCCAGCTATTGCTGTATTGGCTTGAAACAGAAAGACCTTCCCATCAAGAACAATTAGAAAAGCTGGATTTAAAAAACAAAAAAAAAAGGAAAAACCTGTTTGAAGGATTGAAGAGCTACTAAGGTAACAAGGACTTATGGGGTCAAGATCCTAGAGCAAAGGCAGTTCAGGGGTGAACATCACAGTAGTTTTCACCTTGAGACATTTGTTGATTCATAAGTGGTGACTAAGAGGTAAAGATGCCTAGGAGCAGAGAGTCCAGGCAAGAGGCAGAGAACCCAAGCAAGAGGCAGAGAACCCAAGCAAGAGGCAGAGAACCCAAGCAGAAGTTCTAGGCAGTATTACTGGGTGGGGAAAATATGAGTTCAGCACTATCAAGGAAGGGGGCATGGTAAACAGGCTTTCAGTTAGGAAACTTGATGGCTACACATTAGAAGTAAAAGCTAATCAGAAATAGTCCAGTTTTTACAAACATAGACTCCCACTTGGTATTAGTTCCACCCCACACTGGATTACGCGGATCTGCCCCATCCTCAACTGCCTGCAAGAAGCAGCAGTGAACTGTCTCTTGAGGAAGAGGAGCCTCAAATGATGACTACAAATTTTAATCTATAATATACAGCATCCAATCAAAAGTTACTCATTATCAAAAGACGTATCAGATGATGAAAGATCAAGAAAAAAATTAGAAAAGTTCCCATGGGAGGTACGGATTTTTCAGTTATCAACCAGAAATATTAAAATAATGGTGATGAATAAATTCAAGGAAGTAGAAGACAAGATGAAGAATTTTAGCAGAGAATTAAAATCTTAAAAAATTAAGTGGACGCTTTTGGTTCTGGACAAAATGGAGATGTATTTCTCTTCTCTTCCTCCCACTAAGCACAGCAAAAAACTTATATACTATATATGAAACAAATAAGAAGACTCAGAAAGGTGGAGAGAAGAAGGCAGACCAGTTAGGAACCTCAGGATCCAAGGAACGACGTGGTAGTAAGTTCCCTGAGTTTTGTTTTTGCCTCATATATCCCATAATGGGTTCCGGAGAAGCTGGCACCCCAAAGTGCCAAAGGATGCAGACCAAAAAAGCCCAAAGAAAAGCCTTCTCTAGCCAAAGGACCAGGAAAGGGACAGCCTACCAAGACAGAATACTTTGAGACAATAATTGCACTACTCCAGCCAAATGCTACAGAAAAAACTGAGGCTGATCTTTACCCACTGCCAGCAAAGCTGAGGAGAGCCTAGACTCCACAGCTACCCAGCCGTAATGAAGCAGGGCTCCCCACTGCCTGGGCAATGTCAAAGAAAGCCAAGTGGGGAACCAGGATTTCCACCACCACACAGTGGTAATGAGGCCCCAGCCATGGTGTCAGTGGAGGCCATGTGGGCAGCAGTAATAAGGAACCCAGAACCCCAGGTATCAACACAGTCCAAGGGAGAGCCTGAATTTCCACTCCTACCTGGTAGTGGTAAGGCAGTTCCCCACCTCCCCCACCAGCACAGTGTCAGAGGAGTTCTGCTTAAACAGAAGATTTAAATGAGATGCAGAGTCTTATTATAATATTTAAAATATCCAGGATATAATGAAAAATCAATCATTATACCAAGGACCCAGGAAATTTCAAGTTGAACGAAAAAAGACAATCAACAGATGCCAACATCAAGTTGACACAGATGTTGGAATTATCTGACAAAAATATAAAAATATTTTAATAAGCAACTACAAATAAACTTAGAACAAACAATATAAAGAGGCTCAGCAAAGAAACAGAAAGTCTCAGCAAAGAAATAGAAGACATAATGAGGAAACAAATGGAAATTTTATATCTGAAAAATACAATGATTCAAATAAAAAACTCAGTGAATGGGCTCAACAGCAGAATAGAGGACAGACATGCTGTCAGTGAACTTGAAGACAGAAGAGTAGAAATTACCCAATCAGAAAAACAAAAAATAGACTGAAAAAAATTAGTAGAGCCTCAGGGATATGCAGGACTGTAACAAAAGATCTAGCATTTACGTCATCGGAGTTTCAGAAGGAGAGGAGAAAGGGTATGGGGCAGAAAAAGTATTAGAAGAAATAACGCCTGAAAATTTTCCAAATTTGGCAAAAGACATAAACCTAAAATTCAAGAAGCTGAGCAAACCCCAAACAGGAAAAAAACCAAAGAAATCTACACCAAGACACATCATAATCAAACTTCTAAAAACTAAAGAAAAGATTTTGAAAGCAGTGAGAGAGAAAAGATACCTTGGCTATAGGGGAAAAACAATTCAAATAATGGCCAATTTCTCATCACAAACTGTGGAGGCCCCAAGGAATTGGCACGTGTTTCAAGTGCTGAAAGTAAGAAATCATCAGCCCCAGATTCTATATCTAGCAACAATATCTTTCAGGAATGAAGAGGAAAGCAAGACATTCTCAAATGAGGAAAAATTAATAGCATTTGTCTCCAACTGATCTCTTTAAAAAATGTCTCAAGGAAGTTCTTGAAACAGAAAGAAAATAATAACAAAGGAATCTTGGAACACCAGGAAGGAAGAAAGAAAAGTAGAAAGAGTTAAATATGGGTAAATACAGTAGGCTTTCCTTCTCCTTTTGAATTCTGTAAATTATGTCTGACAGTTGAAGCAAAAATTATAACATCTGATGTGGTTCTCAATGAATGTAGAGGAAATACTAAAGGCAATTATAATGGGATTGAGCAAAGGGACTTTACAGGAGGTAAGGTTTCTACACTTCACTAGAACGGGTAAAACGTGGACACAAGCAGACTGTGATCATTTATGTATCTATAAAGCGTGGGTTTGGACAGCAGATGTTTTGTGTGCGAGGAAGATCGTCCCTGAGCTAACATCTATTGCCAGTCTTCCTCTTTTTCCTTGAGGAAGATTGTCCCTGAGCCAACACTCGTGCCAATCTTCCTCCATTTTGTATATGGGACACCACCACAGCATGCCTTGATGAGCGGTGCCTAGGTCCATGCCTGGGATCTGGGCTGCGAACCCAGAGCCACAGAAGCGGAGCATGCCGAACTTAACCACTACACCACCAGGACAGCCCCAGGACAGCAGTTTTAACGGGCTGAGGGGTCAAGATGAGAGCACGTGGAAGCAGTTAGCACATACTTTCTAGATTTGGTGACTGGAAAGGAAAGAAGGCTGGGACTATAACTTCTGTAGACGGAGGAAAAGGCAACCAGCGGAAAAGAAGAGCACATATACCAGAGATAGGGGGATAATGGAGCACAGGTAGAGGTAGGATCAAGGGGTTGGTCTCGGGAAGAAAGGAGCCTCTGGCTCTGACTTACAATGAACTATCAGAAACAGAAATTAAGAAAACAATCCCATTTATAATTGCATCAAAGATTAAAATACATAGGAATACATTTAACCAAGAAGGTGAAAGACCTTTACACTGAAAACTATAAAACATTGATGAAAGAAACTGAAGACGACACAAATAAATAAAAAGATATTCTGTGCTCATGGATCAGAAGACTTAATATTGTTAAAATGTCCATACTACCCAAAGCAAGGTACAGATTCAATGTAATCCCTATCAAAATTCCAATGGCATTTTCCACAGAAATAGAACAAACAATCCTAAAATTTGTATGGAACCACAAAAGATCCTGAATAGCCAAAGCCAACTTGAGAAGGAAGAACAAAGCTGGAGGCATCACTCTCCCTGATTTCAAACTACATTACAAAGCTATAATAAACAAAACAATAGGGTCTTGGCATAAAAACAGACGTATAGATTAACAGAGCAGAATAGAGAGCCCAGAAATAAACCCATGCATATATCGTCAATTAATCTATGACAAAGGAGTCAAGAATATACAACGCGGAAAGGACAGTCTCGTCAATAAATGGTGTTGGGAAAACTGGACAGCCACTTGCAAAACAATGAAACTAGACTACTATCTTACACCATACACAAAAATTAATTCAAAATGGATTAAAGACTTGAATGTAAAACTTGAAACCACAAAACTCCTGGAAGAAAACATAGGCAGTAAGCTCCTTGGCATCGGTCTTGGCGACGATTTTTTGGATCTGACTCCAAAAGCAAAGGCAACAAAAGCAAATATAAACAAGTGGAACTACATCAAACTAAAAATCTTCCGTACAGCAAAGGAAACCATCAACACAATGAAAAGGCAACCTATGGAATGGGAGAGAATATTTGCAAATCATATACCTGATAAGAGGTTAATATCCAAAACATATAAAGAACTCATACAATTCAATAGCAAAAAAAAACCCCAAAAGAGTCTGACTCTGAGAAGGGAAATATACATTTGAGAGAAGGTGAGGGTAACAGGGAGTTGGGTCTGAGGATAATTTTCTTCTCAGCCAAGCAGGCCCTTGCTGGGAGCAGATAAGCCGAGCTGAGGGCGATGATGCAGGTTTGGGGCGCCGAGACCGGATATGAACACGAGGATGACAGACGTTCAGGAAGTGTCAGGCGCTAAAGCTCAAGTTGTCAGCCTCGCTCCTCAAAAGCTGTACAATGATGAACTGCCCGCCAGGTGGCGGTGTCTGCGGAAGCTCACGTATCCCATCGGCCCTGGCGCCAGGGCGGAAGAAGGTTCAGAGGTGATTCTCTGGCTCGCTGCGCCTCGGCTCTCCTAGCCAGACTGACGTTGGACAACAAAGATGGCGGCAGGAACCAGCAATTACTGGGAAGGTGAGGGGGAAGCCTCCGGGTGGATCCAGCCGAGGGGCAGAGGGGCTGAGTGCGGATGGGGCTTGGGGCAGGCAGCGGAGGAAAGAGCCTGGTCTCCGGAGCGGCCGGGCTGAGGGGCGGGGCTCGTCTAGTGGGAGCCCGGGGCCTGGGGGCGGCGGAGACTGGACGGTCCGGGCCAGGGGCTGACCTGGCAGGCAGCGGGACCTGGGGCAGGGTTGGCCAGAGAGGGCTGAGCGGGGACGGAGGGCAGAGGAGCCTGAGTCGGCGGAGGAGGACTGGCTTGAGGGGGTAGCGGAACTTGGACGAAGGGGCTTGGGCTACGAGCTCGGAGAGGAAACGAGTGTTGAGAGAGAAGATCCGAGCCCAGGAGACTGGGGGAGTCAGCGCGTTAGAGTTGAGGTCGCTGTTGGACAGTTGGGTAGGAAAAGCGGAAGGAGGAACTGGTCAGTCCGGTCCACAGAGGGAAATTGTGTAAGTGGAATGTCTCTTACTGGGTCCCCTTGGCAGCTTCAGGCTGGGACTTCGAGGACTGGGTGTCGAGTCGGCTTTTGAAGGCGGAGGAAATAACTTTGCCTTCTGCTCTGGAGATGGGTTTTGTTAAAAAGAGAAAGTTGGGAGAACCACTGTGAATTGTCATTATTGCATTTGCTATATACCTCTTCTACCAAAAAACCGTCTTGTGATTTGACAAGTACGTTTGTTTAATTCCTGAAAATATGGTCCGATAAAGTGGACTCACCTAAAACTCATTCCTGGACCGTGATGATGAACAAAAATCAGAGGAGGCTCACCTTTTTCTTTCAGTTGTCTCTTTGCTTTACTGCAGCATAGAAACTATTCTCAGAATCTCTTACCCCTTTTAACCTATTTCCTATTGCTACCCACTGAAACCTCTGGAAACCCACCACAAATAACAGTATTGTTACTATCAGATACTTGGTCTAAGAAACTTGATTCTAAGTTCATCCATACTTACCTGTTATACTTTTCAAAGTGCTTTTACTTGATGTTTTCTGTTAGAAAATCAGTTACTAATTACAGAAGAGCATGCTTATAGTTTAAAACACGTATTAAAATGCCAATTTGAAATGTGTGTACTAGCTAGAAAATATTTTTAAATTATGTAGAAGTGGCTGTTGGTATCTTTAATACAAGTCAGTAGACTATGGTTTTTTGACGCACCGTGCTATAATAATTATAGAGCTTATTATTGACAACCTACTCTGTGCTAGGGGCTTTAAACACATGATTACTAATGCATAGAAAAATCTTGAAGGTAGGGGTTTAAAAGACAAAAAGCTGAGGTGCATAGATTAAGTAGATTGTCAATAAATCACAGAGCCAGTTCTTAGAATCTCAGATTTTTAGGCTGAGCTGAGATTCTAACTGAGATTTGGTCTCTGGGCAAATGTTCTCCACTGTATTACTCTGCTTTTTACTTCTGGCTGATAAGTATATTGAAATAATGTTTTGTATTCCTTATTCCGGAAAGATGAGATCCTTACATTATTCCTTCCTACGTTTCAGCCCTTTTATTTGGACCTTGCTTCACCATGAATGAGAGTACTCACATCTAGATGTGGGTTTCTGAACTTTGGCTTCTCTCACTCAACCACTTAGATGCCAAACTACTATACCAGTTTCTTTGCTTGTTTGTTTTAAAACTTATGTTCTTATTTCTGTCATACTTAGGTCTAACCCTGTTAGTGGCTCATTGTTTATTGTTAGTTTCAGCCTCTCCAACTTTCTTTCAGTAAACTTAAGGAATTTTTTTAATCTTTGTCTATGATTATTTTTTCTTTATGCTCAATCACTAAGTCATTCTACTATTAAGAATTTCATAAGCCTAATAAAGCTTTGGGACATAAAGAGATAGGAAAATCTCTGTCAAAAACAGTCGTGGTTTCTTGTCATAAAGATAGCTGGTAAACTAATATAATGCTGGTCATAAACCATATTCAGTTCCTTTGTGATTTGTATTCTCTTCTGTTTTCCTCTAAATTATGAAATTTTAGTTACTGCTATAGAAATAATTTCGTGGATGTTAGGACATTTGTTGTCTAGCTGTTTTTGAGATAAAGCTGAAATTTTGTGTCTCCCACTGTCCCTCCCCTTCTTGTCCCATCTGAAGTTTAAATAAGTGACAGTTTGCTTTCCTGGGTAAATATTTGGTTTTGTCCTTATAACACTTTTCTTTATGGGAGGATCTAGATCAATATGTGATCATTTGCATTGTTTGTTTTCTTCTGGTTAGTTTTATGATTTTCGTGTCTACTGATGGACTTGTTATGTCTAATTATTTGCTTTCATAATTTTTTAAAGATCTGAGGAAACAGGCTCGACAGCTGGAAAATGAACTTGACCTGAAACTAGTTTCCTTCAGTAAACTATGTACCAGTTATAGTCACAGCAGTGCCCGAGATGGAAGACGCGACAGGTATAGGTAGTACCAGATTCTGTCTCTTATGTCTTAGAGTAAATAATGTTTTTTTGTGTGAGTGAGGAACATCAGCCCTGAGCTAACATCCATGCCAATCCTCCTCTTTTTTACTGAGGAAGACTGGCCCTGAGCTAACATCAGTGTCCATCTTCCTCCACTTTATGTGGGACGCCGCCACAGCATGGCCTGACAAGCAGTGCATCGGTGCGCACCCGGAATCCAAACCCGGGCCGCCAGCAGCGGAGCGCGAGCACTTAACCACTAAGCCACGGAGTGGGCCCCTAAATAATGTTTTTAAAGCATTAAAAACTAAACCGAAATATATAATTCTGTACCTTGGTCATTTTGGTGAATTTTTGGTGTTTTATTTTGTTATTGATTGTTTTATTTTTTATTAATTTATATAAATTCTTCTTAATTCTTGAGACTAGCATTTATTTGGGATCCTTTGGCAAAGACTGTGACAGTGTTAGGAGGAAAATGCCAATGCTTAAGAATGAGTTTGTGTCAGAGATAAGAGTTTCTAGTTCAGCGTTTGTAAGGAAATGTGGTTGATTTGCCCACATTGTATTTCTTATAGCTTCTGATTGCTAAATGGAGCTGAGGAGCTACCTAAATGCAAAATATACGTACTGCTTTTCTGGTGTTTTAGAATGGATCTAATGCAGTATGTGTCCTCACTATTAATCATCTGAGCTGCTTTTAATTTTGCTTCTTTTTTGAGCATCTGGTATACAACTGTATTGAACATATGGAAAATAAGTTCTTGTCTTTGAATCTTATGCTCACATTGAATCTTATGCTCACATCCACTTGCTTCAAAGAATTTTAGGAAATATTTAAGATGCTTGGAAAGTGTCTTAGATGTAATGGACTCCCACATGCCTATCTCCCATTTTAAGAAATAATCGTTAACAATTCAGTTGAAACCCTGGATGGCATTTCATTTGCTCCCTCCCCATAATCTCCATATATTTTTACTACATATGTTTGTGTTCCTGAACAATTCATGGGATCCTACTATAGTTATTTTGCAGTTTTCTTTTTTGTTTAACGTTATCTTTGAGATTCAGCTGTAGATATATTTAACTGTGGTATATTCATTTTCAACATATAGTATTACATTGTATGATTTTATCACAATTTATTCTATAGTTGCATGTTGTTTCTAATTTTTGCTAATTAATAATAATTTTAATAGCTGACACAGAGTGTTCATTATGTGTCAGGTCCTGTTTTAAGTGCTTTATATAAAGGCTACTGGGAACATTTTTACCTATAAAATATTTGTATATACGTAGCAGTAGAATTGCCGGTAGCAGAGTTGTTAGTTGTTATCCTCTCTTTATTTTACATACTTTTTTGAGGATTGGTGGTAGGCAGGATATTTTTTCAGCTAATAATAATAAGAACAACAAAAACTGATCTTGGGTTTGAACCTAGGTTTTTCTATCTCCAGAGCCCTCAACACTAGCCAAAGTGTTGCTTCTTTTTAGTAAGGGCACATTATTAAAGAATTAAAATTAAAGATAGCAGGGCCAACATATTGACTCGAGGACCTAAAAGAAAGCTATTGGCATATCACATAGCTTTGATTGCAGTGCATTTTGCGAGGCTTGCCTTTACTTAGCAAGTAAAGAGAATAAGGAATGTTCTTTTCTATGAGTAAACTTATTTTATCATTGGAAAGCATTTTTCCTGAAGTCTCCCACTTGGCTATGCCAGTGAGTATACAATTTTAAAACTCCTAATTGTTAAGGGATACAGGGGCCAGCCCAGTGGTGCAGCAGTTAAGTTCGCACGTTCCACTTGGGTGACCGGGGTTCGCTGGTTCGGATCCTGGGCACAGACCTACTACTGCTCATCAAGCCATGCTGAGGCGGTGTCCCGCATGAAAGAGCTGGAAGGACTTACAACTAGGATATGCAACTATGTACTGGGGGCTTTGGGGAGAAAGAAGAAGGAAAGAGGAAGATTGGCAACAGACATTAGCTCAGGGCCAATCTTCCTCAAAAAAAAAAAAATGGGGAAGGCAATCAAATAGAACGTTGTAAGCCAAAAGAATAAAAGGGTGGGGCCGGCCCGGTGGCATAGTGGTTAAGTTCGTCTGCTCCACTTCAGCGGCCCGGGGTTCACAGGTTTGCATCCCGGGCGTGGACCGATGTGCCACTTATCAAGCCATGCTGTGGCAGGCTTCCCACTTATAAAGTGTAGGAAGATGGGCATGGATGTTAGCCCAGGGCTGATCTTCCTTAGCAAAAAGAGGAGGATTGGCAACAGATGTTAGCTCAGGGCTAATCTTCCTCACCAAGAGAGAAAAGAGAGAGAGAGACAATTACATGATGATTTTCTATGTTGTCTGTGCTTCGTGCACTTAATACTTTTGTGACTCCTTTAAGGGAAGAACTGTCTTGAAAACATTCCCTAAGAAATTCTACAACAAATTGGGACTGACTTTGTAGAATTATTTGAGCCTAACTGTCTCTTTCAACAAGAAACGTAAAGCCATGAAGATCCAGATCCAGTGTGCATTCTAAAGTGTTTTATTTGTTGCCAAGGTTGAAAGCATGTCATGATGAATAAACGCAATGATGATGAGAATTTTTCTACCAGGAATAATTTTTTTTTACTTAATGTATTTTGAGAACTTCATATGGTCTATAAGTCATCACACACCTATAAAATGAATTAAATTTAATTGAATCTTACTATTGTGGAGAATGAGTTTTGGGCCATATTCCTGGACTCATATACTCTCCTGAGAATGGTGAATGTAGAGATTGCCTCCTCGTTCATTCAACAAGTATTTAATGAGCATCTGCCATGTGCCAGGCGCTATTCTAGGTGCTTGGCGTATATCTAGGTGTTTGGCCCATTGTTCTTTTTTGTATATCTGGGAGGGGAGGATCTTAGGGTAGGGAGGTATTAGTAATATATAGAGCATTTTTGCCTGGGCACATTCTAAGAGAAAACCCAGAACCTTGGGTTGGCTCTGACACATAATAAAGAACTAGCTATTTTGATATATATTTTAAGGCAAATACACTGAAATATTTCAAGAAGAAATAAAAATTTGGACCTAGCTAAACATCTTAAAATAAAAATCCTCTTTATTAGCTACTTTTTGGCTATTTCACTACTTGTTACTATTGCTGTGGAAGTGTGTATGAGAAGAGAAATAGTAGTAGCTAAGATACTATTTTGATGTTAAACTGATGATTTAATTTTTTAATTTGCTACACCCAAACACTGTCACCGGGCAGGACAAAGGCTTCAATAAGATTGGAAACATAGTCATTGGCTGGGCATTTGTCTGTATTGGTATAACTAAGATCTGTATTGAGTTGCTCATATATATACCACTTGGAAACCTAATGAAAGTTAGTGGTCGACTTGAGGAGTCAAAAGAAACTTTCAGGACGTGCAGTCTTAGAATTTGAATCTGTCCAATATAAATTTCACTTGTAAAAAGTTAGATTTGTGACTCACTATTACTTTAAAAGACATTTCAACACATTTTTATGAAACAAAACTGAAACAGTTGCGCAATATGTAATGAAATGAAATGAAATGTAGAGAGTTGGTACTAGAATTTCTCTGCTGGACATGGCTGTCTATATTAGACCTAAAGCCAGTTCCTGCTTATTTAATAACTAGTAGATAATTTAAATCTCAATTTTATTTCTTCTTGGTAAGAGTCAAGGAAAGAAGAGAGAACTTAATTTAAGGTCTAAGGAACCATTATTGCTTTAGGGTAAAAATTTAAAAGATTATTCCTCACAAATCCCATAACAAAATTCATAGTACATTTTATGGCTCTTCTTATATGCCATACTACATAGTTCTGTGGTTTTTTTTCACGTGATTTGTTCTTTCAGATTCAGCATTCAGTTGGGCACTGCCATAGCTTAAGTTACTTTCATCTGGGACAGTAAACAAGCATTTGGAATTTCTTTACATTATTAAGATTGGATGTATTAAAGCTTGGGAAAATCTTACATTCAATTATATTTTATACTGAATTTAATATTTAGGGTATGTGATCTTTATAGGAAAACTCCTATAAAATTATAGCTTCTTAAGAAACAGAGAGATCTCAGGGGTTCCACTTGACCTGTTTAAGAATAATTACCCTCCACTTTGGCGGCCCAGGTTCATAGGTTCATTGGACCTACTCTGCTCATCAGCCATGCTGTGGAAGCCTCCCACATACAAAATAGAGGAAGATTGGCACAGATGTCAGCTCAGGGCAAATCTTCCTCACCAAAAAAAAAAAACCCAACACTAATTACCTTATTATTTTAAGTATTTTTTAAAGGATTAGGTTTAAGTAATGGATTCTCTTTATTTGAACTTCTCTTTAGCTCTGACACAACACCTCTTTTAAATGGATCAAGCCAAGACAGAATGTTTGAAACAATGGCAATTGAGATTGAACAGCTTTTGGCAAGGGTAAGCACTTAACAGCCATCGGCTAAATGGCTATTTTGCTAATAACTGTGTGTTTGTTAGTTATGATACTAGATTATATTACTGCAGACGTGTTTATTGAAGTCACCCTTTCATTCAAGATATGTGCCTCCCCAGGCCACTTGAATTTTGATGACAGCCATTCCCAGATCCTATGAATATTATTTTAGCCTGTATGAATTATTTGGGGGAAATACTGACATTATGTGCTGTCTTCTTGTTGTTTTTTGTTTGTTTGTTTGTTTTTTGCTGTTATCCAAAAGGACATACAGGCAAATAACTTACTTTTATCTCTTTATAGTGCTTTCTAAAATATTTTTATTGATTTTCAGTATTGCTTCTTTTTTTTTAGCTTACAGGAGTAAATGATAAAATGGCAGAATATACCAACAGCGCGGGTGTCCCCTCCTTGAATGCAGCACTGATGCATACATTACAGCGACATAGAGACATATTACAGGTAATATTTTGGGCTTAAGATTTTTGTTATTATAGGAAGTTCTTTTTTTTTAATCCCTGTAGAATGTGTGCACATGTATTTAAGAGAACGAAGGGAAAAGTCTTCTGAGAGGGTAAATGCCATGCTATAGAAGTTTGTCTTATTTTACTTTTTTTTCCCTTGGTATTATAAAACTCTGAAAATGTCTAATAGCTCTTGCTTTTGCCTAGTAAAATTGAATAATATTCATCAGTAGATAAATATACTTCTACTGTGAGAGACCTTGCTAGCTAACTGTAACAGTGAAATAGCCAGTGGTCATTATACAGTGGTTTAGAGTATACTTTCATCAGGCTTTGAAGATAACATGGAAGAGGTGTAATTTACTTTATTTAATATATTGTTTGAGAAAATATTAAAAGTGTACCAATAAAATGAAATAAACTCTTAAACATTTTCTTATGGGTGTGTTAAAAATATAGTAGTACAAATAGAAAGGCAGATATTTTTAATATTGAAAAAATTCAGCAACTGTTTCTAATTTTAAAAACTCTTGTTAAAAATTAGAATAGAAGGATGCTTTACCTAATGTAAAAATGTGTATATCACATTAAAAGCTAGCACTAAAAGCATTCCCATTGAAGGAATAGGATATCCACAGTCACCATAGATGTTTAACATTGTTTTGGAAGTTCTTGGTGGTGCAATTAGACAGTGAAAAGAAACAGGATATAAATATTGGAAAGGAAGAGATGAAATTTGTATTATGTAGCAGTGATAAGATTATATATCTAATATGACAAGAAAACTAACCCCCCAAAATTAGAAACAAATTCAGTAAGATGGTGGATTACAAAATTGATATATAAAGGCAAGTAGTTTTCCTACATATGAACAATAATCTGTTAGGAAATACAATGGAAGAAACTGTAAAATCCTTATGTATAAATTTAATAAGAATGTATAGGACTTGTATGTATAAAACTCTACTGAGGAACATAAAAGAAGATTTACTCTGCTTTTGGATGGGAAGATTCCTCTCTAAATCAGCCTGTAAATTGATTGCTATCCCAATGGAAATAGCAGCGTTTTTTGTTTCTTTGTTTCATTGTTTTTTAATTGGAAAAATGACACCAAAGTTCAAGAATAAACAAGAAAAAAAATGTGAAAATGAAGATAAGTAGTAAAAGATGCCTAGTTCTACCAGATATTAAAACCTGTGAAGAATCTAGAATAATTAAGACAGTTTGATCTAGAGAAAAAATAGACCAATAGAACAGAGTTCATATATAGACCCAAATATGTGTAGAAATTTAGTTTCTGATAAAGGAGGTACGTTAAATCAGTGGGAAAAAGAGGGATTATAAAATAAATAGAGCTGTAACAATGGCTAATTATTTGGGGAGAAAATGAAAACCTCAATTTCTATCTCATTCCTCCCATCCAGAATAAATTCCAAATGGATCAAAGATTTACAAGTAGAAAAAGAAACCATAAAAGTTCAAAATAAAGCATGGGTGAACTTATACAATTTGGGTATTAAAGGACTGTATGCAAGACCTAATACCAGAAACTATAACAAATGACTAGTTTGTTTAGTATACAAATAATAGAAATTAAAAAAAGACAAACTAATAAGAAAATGGGCAAAGGATGTGAACTTGCTGTTTACAGCAAATGAGTGGCCAAAACCATAGAAAGATCTTTGGCCACATTCCCAAATAAAAATAGACAAATCAAAATGCGACGTGATTTTTCACCTGTCGGATTAGCAAATATTGAAACATTTGTAACCCATTATTGGCAAGAGTATAGAAAAATGGGCACTCATCCATTTGCTGGGGACATAAATTGGTGCAGTCTTTATAGAAGGCAGTTTAAGCGCTATCAAAATTTAAATATAAGATTCTTTGATCCAGTTCTTCTGCTGGGCATTTACTCTTTAAATACACTTAAAAAAGAGAGGTTCTATAAAATATATATAAAAGAATGTTTGTTGCAGCATTTTTTAACAGAAAAAAAATGAAAGCAACTAAAATATTTATCAGCAGGGAATTTATTAAATTATAATAGAGCCATAACGTAGAATTTTATATAGCTCTTATAAAGAATACAGATTTCCGTTTGCTAATATGGAAAGATTTCTTGGTATTTTATGAACTACAAAAAACGAGATGTATAGCAGAATACAATATGATTTCTTTAGCATAAATGAAAGAAATAATAGACAAGCTTGTATATGCAAAAACATCTCCTGAAAGAAAATAAAAGAAAGTGATGATAATGTTATGAACTATGGAGCCAGGATGGTTTTACTTTTATTCCCTTTGGTGCTCTTTTAGTACTCGCCCTATGTTCATGTGTTATTTTTGTTTTAAAAGGGTCAGTATGGGCTCGCTGAAAGATAGGATTATGCTTTTCATCTTCTTGATATATACATCTCTTAATTTAAAAAAGTAATGAATATTTCTTAATATCTTAAAAGTATGGTAATAGAAAAAGAAAGCAAAATATTTAAAGATTATTTTGTTTACAGTTCTCTTGGTTTTGTTCTTTGATTAGTTTAGGCATTAACTTTCTTTGGGAATTCCAAAAGGATGAAATCTGAAAATAAACCCCATTGAGTACACTAAGGAGTAGAAAGAGCCCCTCAAGTTTTCTCTTAGGCTATTTGAAGTCATTTTATCTTAGAGTTATTTTTTTCTTTACAATTCTGCCCCATAAGACAAGGTGCTAGAACATATGAAGAATAGTGATTTAGTGGCACCATTACCCTAGCACCAAATTGTTTTCATTTGAAAGAAGTTGGGCGTTCTTCAGGAAAGTGATTATAATGTTATTTTAACCTCTTGACAATTTTATTTCTTAAATAGCAGTTTTTTTGACTGAAATTTCTAGAAGGATGACAATACATAACTGGCTCAGTAAGATGAAAATATATAATTATGTTGAGACCGGATGTTGATTTATTGCAGGATTATACACATGAATTCCATAAAACCAAAGCAAACTTTATGGCAATACGGGAAAGGGAGAATCTCTTGGGATCAGTACGAAAGGATATTGAGTAAGTTACCTTTTATATTATCTTGTGGGATGTTTATTCATATTTAGATTGAGAATATATCCATGATTAACAGCTACTTGAGTAGGAGAACCATGTTTCAAGATTTCTCATTCCCATTTCACTGTTTTTTAAACATTGCTACTACAATATGGTCCTAATCTACTTTGCTGGTTTTATCTCCAGCTTCCCTTGTTTTGTCATTGACTCCTGCCAACCTTGACTTTCTTGTCTTCGTTCAAATTCCAGTTTAGGTGATATCTTCATGGGTTTTTCTCTGATCTACCACCCACCTTAAAAATTGTAACATTACCAGTAACTGAAGCTCCCCGTGTTTCCCTTCCTGATTACCACCTATCCCCCTACCTTCTCCCTTGCCCCAATAATTATATATTCAGGTAGCTATCAACGTAGCCTTTACTTCCCTGGAATCAGAAATATCTGTTTTTTCCAGATTTTATACAAACTTATAGCCTTATGTCAAATTATTGAAGGACTCCCAACATTTTCATGCTGATCTCAATCCATAATTTTAAAGATTTGTTCTTTTCTTCCATCCCTGTACCACACCTTCAGTAATATAGTCTAGCATTTCATACACGTTTTTGAGATTTTTTCCACAACTGAACGTGAATGACAATGTTAAATCCATTGGGCATCTGATTAAAACTGCGGACTTTCCCACTTTTAGACCATCTATTGATGGCTATCATTGTCTCATGTGATAAGTTTATGATATTTATGTTTCATAAGTATGATACTTATGTCTCATAAATGGTTATTTACATTACCATTCATAAACTGATATATATCCTGTGTACCCTGAGAAACATTTTCTTAGAGATCCTTTATTTTGTTATAACAGTAAGACAGCTCTGCAGCAAAAATAATTTAATATTCGTCGCATTCAAAATTTTTGTTTGAAACTCTAACCCAGGGTTATCCAGCCACCAAAGTTATATTTCTACCTCCAGAAATTATCTTGGAAAATAAATTTTTATTGTTTATCTCTGTTTTATTTTTGTTTTTTATGTTTAGTCATATGTACTTTGTGTAACGTGGAGTAAAAAACTAAATATTTTTGCCATAATTAGGAATTTTGTAATATCTTTAGTTCTCAGGAACATGTAATAGATGTACAGTCTATTTACATATATATTTTAAGGAATGCATTGAGAACCAGTAGGGGACAGCCTTTAATGTATAGGCATTTAGCTCCCTCACAGTTTGTGGGAAACACTGGAATACAGCCCACTGTAATAACTTGCTTTCTGAAAGATGATCATAAAGGAAAACTTGTTCATCCATTCATTAAATTATTTTCTGATTACCAACCATGAGTAGGGCACTGTGTCAGTCATAGTAGAAGGTAGAAATGAAAAGACCAACTTGGCTCTCTAGGCGTTTATAATCTAGGTGCTAAAGAGGAGTAGGGCACATACTCAAATTTATATAATACGAGGCAGAATATGGTTAGTGAGATGAGATATAGTAGTAATAACTGACGTTTTAAAGTTTTTTGCAATTACACACCACTTTTCCACATATTATCTCTTTGACTTCATATAATCTTTTGGTATAGACAGAAATTATTAGTCCTATTTTATAAAACTAGATACTAAGAGACTTGTGTAAGGTTAAATGGCTAATAAACGATGGAGTACAGATTTAAATCCAAATCATCAGTCTTCCAAGTCCAGTGTGTGCTTGGTTATGTCATGCTGCTTTTCCTGATGTTTTCTTTCCCGCTGTGCTGTGAACATTAGCACTGCCTCTCAGCCAGTATCTAGTTCAGTTTTAGCAGCATGACCCTCTTTTGTCTTACTGCAGTATATGTGCAGTTCCTTGAATTTTTTATTTTGTTCTTGATAAAGTAAAGAACAGAAACATGAAAGTGTTGATAGTAGTGATACAAAGCATTTTCTTTTAAACTTTAATGCACTTACGACCAAAATAGAAGTTCTTAAGTACGCCAGAATTGTCAGATCTTTAGCTTCATTTTAGTGCTCCTGAGGCTTCTGTTGATGGACTGCATGTACTGTTGTGAAGGAAAACATTCTCTTTCAGTAGCTTCACCACCCCATGTGCTGTGTAGTAATCAGTCCAAAGTTTTACTTCCACTTGAAGAAAATAAAGATATAGGAGATAATAGACAAAGAAAGGAAAAGTAAGGTTTTTGTTTATTTGTTTAAGAATGTTGGATTATTTTGCTGAAAAATAATAAACTCTTGGCCTAAATGAGAGAGGCATTCGTATTTATCTATTTATAATAGATGTCATTTTTAGAAGGAGATGAAAAGGATTATACCTTTTAATTGTTCATTGAAAACTGTGGAGAGGTTTTGGGGTCGGCTCCGTACCATAGTGGTTAAAGGTTCGGTGCACTCCACTTTGGCAGCCTGGGTTTGCATGTTCAGATCCCAGGCGTGGACCTAGGCCACTCGTCAGCCGTGCTGTGGTGGTGTCCCACATAAAAAATAGAGGAAGATTGGCATGAATATTAGCTCAGGGCTGATCTTCCTCAAGCAAAAAAAAGAGGAAGATTGGCAACAGATGTTAGCTCAAGGTGACTCTTCCTCAGCAAAAACAAAACAAAACAAAACAATGGCAAGGCTCAGTTTATCTGCTTTGGGTATTTCTAGAGTCAGTCACTTAATCTTTTTTTGTAATATCTGCCAAAAATGTTCATAAATTTTCTCCATTTTGTTCTAGGTCATATAAAAGTGGGTCTGGAGTAAACAACAGAAGAACTGAACTATTTTTGAAAGAACATGACCATCTTCGAAAGTAGGTATTATTGAATGTATGCACACTGTGTAGTTTTCTATACCTATTAATTCATTTACTTATGTAACAAACATATTATGGTTTTTATTATAGTGAGTGCTTTATCATTGCTAATTCATTTTATTCTTCTAATGACCCTATTCGGTAGAAATGGAATTGCAACTGTTCTGACCATAATGAACAAAGATACTACCCTGTCAAATATCCAAAATCTGCATTCACACTTAATTGTTACCTGTAATATGTCCTTTATTGCCTTAATGTTTCTTTTCTTTAGCAAGTCTATTGCTCTCATACTTTTGTCCACTACTGTAAGTTATTAGTAATAATAATAGTAATAATACTGATACTGACTTATGTTTGAATGGCCTGATACCAACTAATATATGTCAAGAAACTTTATAAAGGATAATTGGCCATACCTCAAATCCAAAGAAAATCTATTTCCCAAGATTTCAGAAGAAAATGCCTAAAAACTTGGATGAACTATATATATATATTTTAAAGCAAGTCACCATGCTCGATCCCTGCTTCATCTATTTTTTCTCTGAATGTACGGTTTCTTTAATTATTTTCTCTGTATTTTGTTGTAGAACTTAAGGCTCAAAAAATTACTTATCTCTGTGAGCTCAGCCTCTAAGCATTTGAGCAGCTAATATCCATGATAGTTAAATGTTATGAATTATGCTGATATTTGCTGTTGAATGTCATAAATTAGTCATATCCGTATGAGCTTAATGTACTGTTCATTTTTCTTTAAAGATCACCACTTTAAATATAAGCTGTTGAAATTAGAACATGGAAAGATCAAGACCTTTTTAGAAGTCTGGATGCTTCTAGTGTTGGAAATAGTTTTTAAGTGTTCTTTCTTAATCTGTTGAATATTATTGATTGACACAAGGGGGCAGTCTTTCCTAGAGTATGTTTAGTTTATAGTTATTCATAGCTTTGGTAGTTCCTTTTGTATTTGATAAAGACCACCATAAAAAGAATTTTGCATTACATCCAAAACTATATTAAAATATTCTTGGGGTACAGAGTAATTTAGGGGGTAAGATAACTCAAGGAGCACAAAATAAAGATTAGATTGCATCAGTGTTTTTATATTTATTACTTCAAAAAGAAATTAAACAGAAATGCAGTAGTTTAATTACTTTAGGAATGATTTTGATGCTGAAAAGAGTATACCAGAGTAATTACATAAGTTAATATCTTTTATTATTTCAGAATACATTGTTATAAACTTTATATGAAAATTTCCAGTTTTGCGTTTCTTTTAATAATTCAAAGAAAACTCTTCAGGAGTTTAATATTGTCCATTTACAGAAAAAAATACAACAATTTAGAGACACACAGCTTAAGTAATTTGTTTAGGGTTATAAAAATGAAGAGATGATTGGAAATCAAAAGATGTTTTTCCATTTTTGTTTCTCAGACAAATATATACTTTATATATATAGTATATGATATGTGTATATCATAGTATATGATATATATATAGTGTATAATATACTTTCTGTATATTCCTGTCAACATTCTTGTGAAGAAGTTTGTATGTACTCATTCTATACCGAGAGAAACTGGGGCAGGATGAAGTTTAAAGTAAAATGGAATATGAGCTTCTGATGAATTAGGGGAATTGTTGAGACTAAAAACAAGGGCTTAGTCCTTGCTCTCAATATTAGAATACAAAGCTTCCAAATACATTTTTGAAAAATAAATCTTTTGTATAAATTACAAATACTTGTTAGGTAATAAGATAATATAAAATTATGGACAAATATGCAAATATGTGTACAAAATAATATGAAAAACTTTCTCTGTTTTTTTCAGTATTGTTTCCATATTTCATTTGCAAAGTGCTTTGAGGAAGAATTGGCAAGATTTTTTTAGAATAACTTTTTTTAATAGAAAAACTATAAATATTCTTTATAGTACTTATTTTAGAAAGTATTAATAATTCAACAACACAAAAAAGACGAATCACTCATTAGTACAGAGTCTGTAACCATTTTTTACTCATCAGTAATTGTGAGCCTTTTCCTATGTTATTTGATGATTTTTTTGTTTGTTTTTGAATAATTCTTTTAACTTTTAATACTGTATATATTCCATAATACAGATAAACTGTAATTCATGTAACCATTTCCCTAATGTTGGCCTTTTGGATTATTTCCAGTTTTTACTGTTACACATACTGAAGTCTTTGCATATATCCATAACTATTTCCTTATGATAAGTTCCTAGAATTGGAATTACAGGATTAAAGAATGTATTCATTTTTAAAGCTTTTGGTATAATATTGTCAAATTTCCTTCCAAAGATTTGCTAGTTTAGAGTCCTGTTAGTAGCATATACATAAACATTCTGCAATACCCATACTAACACTGATATTTTGATTTTTTTTTTTTTAATTCCTGCCACAAAGATAAGTGAAAATTCTCAGGCAGTGTTTTTTTTTAATATAAGGAATACATTTTCATTAGAGAAAACGTAGGTTAACAGCCAAGCAAAAGAAGCATTAAGAAGTAATAGTTAAATTAACCTAAAAGTGATATGGACAGCAAGGGATAAAATATTTCATCAAGCCCATTTGTAATTAATTGGCTGGATTTGCTGCGAGGGTACTTTTTATTTTGGTCTTTCATGAATAGAGGTTTTTTTCAATACTCAGTAACTCAGGTAATTAGTTTGATTTTGTGCAGTAGGGTCAGACTTTTTATGGCAGAAGCATTTTTTATTTGATTCTTCATAAAATATTGTTTTTTTCATGTTTATGTAAATTGCTACAACTTATTTCAAAAGTACATATTTGTTCCTTGAAAAAGAGTAAAACAATATTTATAAATGAATGCCAAACTTAAAAAATTGACTTTGTAATGAATTGTTTTTACCAGCTCCCCCTAATACTCTTTTTGTCTAAAAATTAATATTGTTAGCGTATAACAGTTTATCTTATGGAGGACAGAAATTTCTCTTCCTATATGGTGGATAAGGTAGCTTTCATTTTTGGCTTGTCTTTTCCTGAGTCTGTCTCAGTATGTCAGTCAGAAGAAAATGCTGACTTTGAATTGTGTCAAGGTTGTAGCTATTTGCTTTTCGCTGGACTATAAATGCATTCCTATGAGCTCTTTGGTTGCTATTTGGATTCATTTTTCTTCCTTTATATAATTGTTCTCTTTCAGTGCTCCCTTATATTTTCCTTTTTGAAAGAAGTATCTGAGTTAGTTTTGTATTTTAAAGTTCTTTTTTTCCCCTTAAAGAACTTCTGCTTTTATGATCTTGTCTGTCTACATATTTATTTTTAAAGGATGTAGGGCTGATTGTATTATTGCTATTTTTATAGATGGGAAATTAAGGAATAAAGAGGATAGACAGACTGAGTTACCTGAGGCCTTAAAAAGCTGTGATTTGTTCAACGTCATACAGTCAGTATCTGACCAAGCATTTGTGCTTTTGCTCTAGAAGCATTTTGCCGTTTTGAATAAAAGCATGTCTTCCATATTCACTTTAATGAAGCTGACAAATTTCAGAGATTCTCAGTAGTGGTGAGAAACTTGGATTAGGAGGTAAGTGTACACAAATAGAAGGAGGTTAGCCTCTTCCTGGGCTTCTTTAATATTGGCGATCATCTTCAGGTGAAAATTAGCCACCTTTTACCAGGGCTGCAACCTTCATCTTCTCATCTGTAATTCTACCACCTCAGAAATCTTCAACTCTGGCCTCTGACTATGACCAACACACTTTATCCTTTCAAGCCTGTCTACAGCATCACTAGCTTGTCTCCTATTTTTCTTCTTACAACCTCTCTTCCTACCCTAGCTAGCCTAGGTCTCATAGTTGACTAACTGAAATACTTCCAGCATTTGGCCTTTCCTCTGCTCCTGTCTTTCTGCTGTGCCCCTGTAAAATGCCAACCCAATCCCCAGTCTACTGTTCTCCTATATCTGAGGGCGAGAGAAAAGCACCCAATATACAGATTAACCCTGTTTTAAATTCATCATTTCCAACCTCATCTGGGTATTCAGTATTGCTCGATAGCTTTTGCTTGCTTAACTCTGTTTAGTTCTCTCTCATTCTCTACCAAAACTTTCTCTCTTCTCTTCTTGACTCTCCTGTCCCTTCACCTAAAACAGAGGTCCTTACCTCCTACTTCACTGAAATTTTTAACTTTTTGCTCTTTCCTACAAATTTACTTGTAGGAGTACCCTTCTCTACCCCTTTCCTAGAGTTTTTAGAGGATGGAGTATTTCTCCTGGGAAAGCCAATGCATTCATCTGGCTTTTGTCTCTATCCTTATCTGCTACATCAAATATTCTACTCTTCAGTCATCCTATATACTGGCTCTATCTCTCTAATTTATAAATATACTTTCTATCTTTGTGTCAGTACTCATTTCCTCCTTAGCCTGTTGACTTCTTCTCTCACAACTCTACTGAGCATGTTGTCACTAGGGACATCGGTAACCTCCTGAGTGCCAAATCTAATAGACGTTTTTCATTCTTCATATTGTTTGACTGCTCTACCTCATTTGATAGTGTTAATCTTTTCCTTCCTTGAAAACCTAGGCTACTGTAACGCTGAAATTTACTGGTTCTCCACTTACTTTTCTTAACTACTCTTTCTTTGTTTCCTTCCTGAGTGCCTCCAGCTGCAGCCTCAGAATCCTTTACATAGTGCTCCAGACAGAAATTAGTTAGAATTAGTCCACAAGATGAAACTTATTTGCCATCTACCCTCTCATTTTAGGCCAATTATTTGTCTTTGGCCCACATCATAATAACACTTCCTCCTCCCCAGAGGTGGCAGCTAAAAAGAAAACCTAGCAAAGAGAAATTGCAATTTTCATTCACAAATTTATAGGAAACCAATCGGTGAGATTTTTTTTTATTGCCAAGAATAATAAAACTAACGAGAGAGTTGAAGGAAGAGGGACGAACTTTGAAATTATATAGAACCAGCTAAGGAGTTAAGCTGAGGAATTTCATCCATACTTGGAG